TATGTGTGGTGTGTCATATCAATTGGTGTATTTTGGATTCATTGTGTTTACTCGTTGTTTTCGTACCTTGTTTTTATTGCATAATTTTGTTAAAATTTTCGTCGTGATTACTTCTGAAGTTGTGTCCACTCTTCTACATTCATGAATGAATTGATTGATGTTAAGGACAGCAGATGGGACGTATACGCCGGGGAGGCTAGGCTATTGCTGCGAATGAAATGCACACGGAGATAATTGTTAGCTGCGGTCCGACACGCCGGGGAGAAAGAGTTTAAACGACTGAGGCAGAATGAGTGACAAGCGATTGCAGTGGTAGTTGGTAGTGAGTAGATACGAGGATGTGCGTAGAGTATCGTGAGGTGGTGCTATGGTCACGTTGCATTCTGCAAGAGTCATTCTAGCAAGTGGCGACTGTGTTGCAAGAGGATGCGTTTAACTGGAAGGCGCAGGTCGTCATCGATGTGTGAGATTGTGCTGTGAGTATGCTTGTGGTGTGTTGGCTTTTCTGTTTGTTTTCCATTTCAGCTCTGTCCGTGTGACCCAGGTTCTCGCAATGGCATCCAAGTCAACGTGTATTGGTCGTGAAGGAAGAAAGGGATGGATCATTATTTTGCCTGGGAGTGTCAATGTAGTTGAAGATTGAACGATCAATTCATGGTTGTTTGCTCAAAACCAACTTCCCCAATTTTCGCGGAGGCATCAATACGACAGTCATCGTCTCATCGGTCGCTGTTCAGAAAGAAGTCAGCAGAAAACCGTCAGAAGAAATATTGTGATTTATTATTGTAATATTTGTTCACAGACCTTAGTTGTAACAGTGTTTATAAGTTGGTGTTACAATAAAGAATCCTCGAGTCGCCAACTGGTGTTTTGGTTTTTGCGTTCGTTATTACTAAGCGTTTCTGAAAAAATTCTTTTATGTGATTTATCCTGTGCTAGTTTAATAATTGTATTTATTTCCTGGTAGTGCTATGCTATTTACATGAATTTGCGTGTCATCTCTACAGGCATGGCCAAAGTCTTCGTGATTTAACGCGAAATACCTGAGTAGAGTTTTGCGCAACTACGTGTGTGAAATGAAAAAGTAAACTTTATATTTACATTTACCAATGAACAGAAACTTTACAATTTAGGATTTTCCATGATATGTTAGTCAACTCTACGAGTGTGAATAATCAAAACATGGAAGCAGTTGCTGCATATAGTTTCGATGAGGTTTATCTTGTATTTTACTGATTAGAAGGTATATTTTCCCGGAAATGTTGTTTATGGGAAAGGGATAGCTAAATTCCCTAGCAAGCTGTAGGAATTTTAAAGCGCTTATGCTTGTGCCTGGACAAATTTTGAAGGTCCGGCGGTATTCACGATACTTGTTAAGTGATGATTTGTTATTCGGCCACAAACATAAGCAAGATTTTGGACAATACTCTGTCGCTGTTTGTCACGTTAGCGTCACTGTGCACGAACATCAAAAGCGACCTCATTAAATATAATTGAAAAAATTCCTGCAAGTCCTGCTGGCGTGCTGGAAACATAATGGTAGTGTAAAAATTTGACATCATTTCACACAAAGGTTACTAGGCTGCATATCATACACGTTAGCTATACCATTTCCCCAAGACGAAAAACAAAGCTGTTACATGCAATTTGCAGAAATGTACATGTTTCCGACAAAACGTCGATCAGCCAAGTTGAGAACAATTTAGTAAACGCTCACTTGAAAAATGGTTGGTGGAAAATCACTGGTAAATTTCATGGTTGTACATAGCTGATAGCTGAGTCACCGTCATCGTAAACTTTACTGACCATAGTGTCCGCAATATCCGGATCAATTTCTTTCAGTCGGTAGTAATATTGGACCGGTCTTTGAAGTTTGTCATCACAAGATCCGTCAGTAGAAACTTTACGTAATATCTCCATGCAAACATTTAGATTGCATCGCCTCTACTATCTTCAGTTGTGTTGCCAAATATCCGAAGGCATAAATTAGATTATTTGATTTTACCCTTGGTGAACAATCATCATTACTGGCCTCCAAGGTTTTCAGTTGACTCATTCTCTTGGAGGTGGCGAAGGATCTGGTTTGGGGATGTTACTGAATCCACAGATTCGTGAAGAGTACCCCAATCGTATCACGAATACATTCTCTGTAGGTCCTTCACCTAAGGTGTCCGATACTATTGTCGAAGCTTAAAATGTGACCCTCTCAGTGCATCAGGTTGTGGAAAATACTGATGCAACTTACTGTATTGATAAAGAAGCTTTATACTATACTCGCTTCCACAAACTTAAACTCATATGTCTAGAGTTTGTCGCAGTCAGATCGCGTTGTGCGGACACCAACATGACTTGTCAGAAAATGAGAATACCTATCAATTCAGAAAACACACAATTTTATTAAAACTTATTCACAAAAAAATTCGCCAAGCAAAATTTCAGCCAACATGCCGGATAAGTCCAGGCTAAACTGGAGGCCCTCATGCAGCGTACCACGGGAATAAATATTATTTTTATCCGGCGAAATTGCCAAAGGGGCAGAAGAGATACATTCCTTCACCTATATACCAGGGTGAGATTGGCAAAACTCAACGAATTACGGATTAACAGTGCTACTCCCAATAACATAGGAGGTATCGGGAAGCGTGACTGATGACCATATCAGGCAACACACTTACAGGAACAACAAATTCCATGAAGAACTAAATGATCGTAAGAGATGTAAAGCCTGTGCAACGAATCTGCCATTAGTATGGGATAACTAGACACCCTTTCTGGATATAAATGCTTCGATCCATTTGATCTTCCTTGATTTAGGAAAGGTATTTGACACCTTTCAGCATGGTCTACTTGACAGAATGGGTCATACAGGCACTGGTGGTTGAAAAGACCACATAGGCTACAGAAAATTCTGCGACAAAGCAAATCGTAGCACCTCTCAGACTGAGGAGATCATATCGGTCTCTCTCACAAGCCCTTGATGTCCCTGGCTTTTGTCAATGATCGAAACTGCTCTTCTGCATACTGATGACGTAAACATTTGGAGAGCAATCAAGAGTCAGGCCTGAAAATTCTCGAAGGCAAGGTAGTGGTCGCTGGTGTGATTTTCAACCCCGGAAAGTGTGGAATAATGGGATATAGAGTGGAAATTACTCCCTGTGTAACATCAGGACGGGACTTAAGCCACATTTTAGTGAAAAAACGAAACAAGCATGCACTACACCTGTGAAGTAGAGAGGGCATATGCATTTATATGGTTTAAACACACGGTCAGGTGCACTCACTCCTAATCCCTTTTTCGGACCATATAGGCACACGTACTCCGATACTTTGAAGTGCACAATACCATTGCTCCTCATTACTTTAAAGGGTCCCCAGCCATTTGAGAAGGGTCCAGAGACGGGTGATAAAAGAGGCAACGCGTCTGTGGAATAAACAATATGATGAAAAGTCTTTTCACACTAAGCCACCGTTGTCTTCGAGGGTGACTTAATTACTGCCCATTGGATTGCGAATGACTAAATCATTAACGCGAAGGCATTCGGGCGCTAAGTCATTATAGACATCCTCGTGGCAACCAACGAATCATCGCACATCAGAGATCAGGAATTGAGTGTGCCCCCATTCCGTTTCACTTGTAGTTTGCCACCCAGAGAACTCTTTATCATCAGCTGATGCTGCTGCAGTTTCGGTGAAGGGATCCAGGTGGGGTCCAAACAACCATACACCAAAGACCTGGTTTTTTCTGTTAATGCGAAGACAATACTTCTGTATTTCCTGATGTGTTGCACTCACTGACAATCTAGCGGATTTTTCCAACTGTGCACAGAAACGATTGTACATAAGTGAAAAGGATGTTTTATACTATTGCGATTAACATTTATCAAGTGTATGTATAATCTCCAGTGTACATGTTAAACATATTCTGATATCGACTGTAAATTGTGACTGAATAATATGGTCCTATTTCTGTAACAATTTGATGATGCCTGTAAACTGGCGTCCCTCATGTACTGCATGAGAATAAATTTATTTATTTATTTATTTATTTATTATAAGGACTGCGTCTAAATGGCTCGTTTCCTTGAAATTCACACATTATTAGTGGAAGTCGTCTCAATTCATCCTTTACTACTGCCATTGTCTCACTCCTTTGACAACTCTACCTATTCATCCACTCAATTTATTTCACTTTTAAATCATTAGATTTCACCACCTGTCTGTTTGTAAGCTCTTTTTAGTATATATAATCCATTCCCTTTTATTATGTCATTAATCTTCTGGATTATGAATTGAGTTCTATATTAGATAAGTATATTGGATACAACATGCAGTGATACAGTATCAGCAACTGAACGATGTTCCTAGCACACGGAGAAATTCTCCATTAATATCATGTGCACATATGTAGTCTAGTTTACTCTGAAACATTCACACATGTGACATTATATGCACGCAACTCATAATGGTTAGTTTTCTCCTTAAATATTCAGACTATTTTGAAAACACGAAACAATTTTGTCAACTGCATTTTCTATTCCTTGGCTACAACCTACCCAACGAGGAAAACTTATCAAATTCCACTGCAGGAAGGTTTCAATGGTATAACACACTGACACATGATGATAAATTTCGGAAATTTTATTCCACTCAATTTCTGAAGTCGTGCTCACATATGAATCGTAAGAGACGACCGCAGTACTGATTTATCTTCCCCTTAAATTTTCACTAAGTTGCGACATCATATAGAAAACATCAGGAGAGTCTAAAACGTAAGAGCGAACTGTATCCAGATGTAGTACTGGTTCTGCCAGCCAATAATTAAATCGCGTGATCTACTCCAATAAGATATCTACACCTTCAAAAGCTTATTGAAAGGAGGGGCAGACAAAAAATGAATTCAATTGAGTTTTTCAATGGCTATAAGCATTTACTCTCCCACCAGGAAGTCGGAAACTGAGATCTGAGAATTTGTTTAACTGTGCTGCGTACTCCTCCTTCAACGCATTGGCGCCTTCTTGGTTTGTTTTCTTACTAAGTCCCCCCCCTTGAGTTATGGGGGAGTCAAATAATCCGGAAACTCAGAATGTTGAGGTTTTTTGTCGTATGAAACCTTTTCTTTCTGCGGGTACGCCATGCATTGAGTTCCGCGACGAGAAAACTATCAAGTCAGTGGGTTATCGCTCGGGTACAAGGAGAGAGGTATGGTTTCAAATTAATCATTCAACTTCTGTGTAGACCTTACATGTATTCACTTTAGTCCTACCACCTGACGCTGGACAAGAGACTGTATTCCAGAAGGTCGCGCTTCCGATTGTTTCAGACGTTCTTCAGGGGAGAAATGGTAGTGAAAAATACTATTTAGACCTAACGCGTAGGCTTATTGTTTACATATGGAGTAACTGGAAGTGGAAAGACCTACTCAATGGAAGGTTCTTTAAAAAATCCTGGAATCTTACCCCGTTCCTTGGATGTTGTCTTTAACTCTATTGGACAGTGCCAAACGAAGAAATACGTAAGTGATTTCTATGCTCAATGCATAGGTTTAGGTGGTAAAGCCTGACGGCATGAACGGATATATTGTTCGCTCAGAAGCAGACGCACTTGTCGACCGTCACCGCTTTGACTTGCAGGAGCGTTCGCGACTGTTAAGGTAAAACACTTTCTTCCCCTTACCTAGTAGGTCTGATGTCAGATGTGCGGACAAGGGTGATAGGACTTATGAGTCGTCATATGTAGAAGTCCCTATGAAAGCTCTGTTTGCTGTATTTGTGTCTGTTATTGAAGTTTATAACAACAATATTTATGATTTGTTGCAAGACGTATCGGATCTCCCTGGAAGGTAAATGTTATAATTTCACCTTAACCTGTAGAAACTTAACAACTCGAATACTGCGTGAAGACTCTCGAAGAAATGTGTATGTTCATGGAGGAGTAGAAGTAGAGGTTAAGTCAGCCGAAGAAGCTCTAGATGTTTTTAGCACAGGTAAGACGCTTAATTCCCGCATTCCTAAGGTTTGTACTTTATAAACACTACTAGTGCTTTTTTCTTTGCTCATATTTTCATTTAATTTTGCCACTGGTCAGCATATAGTTTACTGCATAATCACTGGGCAGATAATTTACTCAGCTTAACCCGTATTCATTTTCTTCAGCTCAGAAACGCCGTCGGATCGGACAGACTGTCCTTAACGCCGAATCCAGTCGAAGTCATTGTGTTTTCACCATTCGGTTGGTTCGAACTGGTTATGACGTGAAGTATAACGAGGCTGTTCAGGTAAGCAAAATGACGTTATTTATTAACAGGCTTTGTGTTTCGCCTGGTTATTAATGTGAGTCTAGGCTAAGTAAACATTTGACGGTGATTATGATGGCTGTCATTTGTAGGTGTTCTTTCATGTCACCGGAGGGCCAGAATTACTTTATAAAAAGTAGTCTATGGCATTAGAAGTAGGCAAGTTATCTTGTAGGTTAGGTTACTTTAAACATCAGAAGTCCATCACTGACTGAGTTTGAATAAGGTGATTGCTAATCATCTTAGTATGAATAAATTCATAGTATGATGAGGTTCATTTCTGGACTAAACTCATATTTCGGTTTGGAGTGGAACTGTTACGGTTACATCTCTGATCTTTGTCACGCTTTAAATATTAAGGTTTCTCGTTACTATGCGACCCTTGTCTAATCCTTTTACCTCAATGCAACACAACCTTGAATTGTCTGGCCAGGTTAAGTAGTTTTTCTTAAGCTTTCCGATAGGGAAATGTGTGATACAAGTTGCACGCCGTCTTGAATCAACATCTGGTTTTGATAACATAGTGTCTGTTCGTGCATCCCTAGAGCGTGCGTTGTTGGCGTCAAGCTATAGTTTCTCGGAAGGGATTGTAGTTTAGGCCAGTAAACTACATTGAAAAAGTGATCGTGACCCATATGGAACCTCTGTCCCCAGACAGATTGTAAACTACACAGGTATATGATGTCTTTGTTATCTTTCAGATCATGAAAAGCCACACTAATTTTTATCTAATCATCTACTTGTCTATGCCTCAGTCATTCTGTCCCTGTACCCTTAGTGTATGGTTTCCCGATGAGTAGCAGCTTGGAGTGTTGAGGATCCAAATCTTGTTCTTTGTGCTGAATGCTGACGATTTCCAGACTGATTTCAAAGTAATGAAGGCTTATCTTCTCTTTCTGGTTGTGACTTTGGCATCATTCGTCCCGTCTAGGGTTGCAACGATGCTGTGTATATAGGTGAATGAGGTTACTTCCTTTAGATTTCTCCCATCGATAGTGATTAGTGCTTGCTGCTGTTGCTCGTGGTGGTGCTGGTTACGTATCTTCATCACCTGTCTCCTCTGTTCATTTGGAGGGTTGGTGAACTTAATTGGTAATAATATCCATGAGCTTCTGTTGTCTATGGTATATAAATTCATTGGTTTCTGTCTTATTTCATGTATTACCCTCCACTTTTAATTTCCTTTTATTACATTGAATTACCGTGTCACTTGAAACTGATCTACGTAGTGTGCTGTTATACTTCGACGATCTTTATTCTTTTAAACACCATGTTAACTTCAAACATGACTATGTATGCGTTTGTTGAGTGTATTCATCTACTTAGTTACACCAGTGTTTGGGTTTATTCAACAGGATAAAGGGTCTATCGTCATCAGTCAGTTGTGTCTCGTTGACCTTGCTGGTTCAGAACGAAGTAGTCGTACTGGGACGCAAGGAGATCGCTTGAAAGAAGCATGTAAGTTCGACTTTTTTTTATTCTTTTAGTATGAAATATATCATGTCAAGGAAAATACTTCAGGAGAGATTGGTAGCCAACAAAACTTCAACAGTGCGTTTATTGATTGTAAATTCCCACTAGGTTTGTCGTACAAATGACGTAAATTTACCTTTTAAGGATTAAGTCCTGTAATCGAGAACAATTTGTATAATTTTGGTCATGAATGGTTGTTGATAGTGAAGGACACGAAAAAGTGACTGTAAATGAGTCGCCAATGCTTGAATAAACGGCTAAATTTATGATTATGGGAAGCGGTTGAAATGTCTATTGAATGCATCCTTTTATGTTAAAATGAGGTTATCATGAGGTAGGTGTATAAGTAAGGCACACCGTTTATTTTGTTAAGCTGTTGGTTTGAAGTTCGTATAAGATGACTGTTTGGCGGACAAAGGTTTCTCAGGCGGTTGGAGCCGAATAATTTTAGACATTTTGTATAACCCACTCACGTGGGATCTCATCTTGATTTGCAAAGCAGTAGAATTTTAGGCTATGGTTTCCAGTCGATGACAGTGTAGAGACAGAAATTATTCATTCACTTCTAGTTCGTGTTTACTTTGAATTCAGATGCTTCGTTAAGCAGAGTTGTTTTAGAGAAACCGTAAGAAATACTAAGCTGTGGTGCATACGAGTTGCAATTATAGAAATTTTAGTTATCTCCAGAATGTCCTGCGCCGTTAATTCAGGACGGCTTCCTGACTGTACTGTTTACACAGTATTATTACTGTCACAAAGAATACGGTAAGCATTTTAACGCCGCACACTGTCAGGGTCAATTTCTGTCACATAACTCACAAAATTCGCTCTGTTTACTCTGTTCTGTGTTGCGCATTTTGAAAGCAGCCATTTTGCTTGAATATTTGGTCTCGTTATCGTGATAGGTGTGCCGAAAGTTTTGATGAAAATAACGCCGCCTACTAGTATGTTAAAACATAAAGACCTAAATGTTTATTAATGATTAACTAGTGTTTTGCTATATCGGGTTTGAGATTGTGAAAAATGACTCTGAGGTTTAGAGTATGTGAAAAGTTGGATCACTATTACCATATCTTCTCTTGGGAAATCTAAATGGTCATAAAGGGAGGCTGTGCAACCGCTCATTCTTTTGAAATACATAGGCGATGAAGAAGCACTATTTTTATATTTACTGGAGTTGCCCACTGGGTGGCTGAAGCTTTCATTCGATATCTGACATGGCATTCTTTGGATAGATATGTCACTGAAAAGCTCAACATAGATAAGCCTTTCTGACCAATTTAGTACCTTTGTATTGCAGTTAGCTACTGTGTGTTTGGGCGGACAGCTCTTCTTGGGAGTTATTGGATTGCCGTTAGTAAAACAGAAACTGGTGTGGATGTGGTATATGACTGTCTAGGAAGGGGCGTGTCTACTGCAAACCGACTAATCCTTTATTTATTTACTACTTGGAGACAGTCCGTCAAGGTGAGGGACATGAAGAAGCTAGTGGTTTTTGACCATAGGTGTTTGCGTCCTATCTCCCGTGTTAGGTGGTATAATTTGCTTAGTGATAGTTTATTTAGGTCTAGTGAAATTAAATCAATGAGGTTGTGAAGCAGTGTCAAGCGAAATAGCTGATGCAGATTTATTTAGTTTTTGGGATCTCTTATATCCATTAAACTGTCATGTCTTTCTATGTTACTATTCTTCATCACTCTACTGGTCATTATTGTTCTTTTGAGTCTCTTTTCTCTTCACTTTTCTGTGCTACACGGAATGTGTCGACTTCGATTGCTGCACTTCTGTGCAGAGTTCCACATCGAAACTCAATCATTGAGTTTGTTAAGTAAATGTGACATGTAGATTTTCAAAAGAAGTACTTTCATCCATTGTTTTTGAGATTTTTTCTGACACAAATTTTCTTTAATTCTACCTTTTCAGCTAAAATTAACAATTCTCTTATGAATCTTCGGAAGTGTATCACAGCCTTACGTGATATGCAAACAAATGGAGGTAAAAATCGTGGAAACCCTAATACTACCGGTGGACCCACACGTGTTGTTCCCTATCGTGATGCTCGATTAACATATTTGTTTAAAAACTTCTTTGAAGGTGATGGGCGTGTTGCAATGCTTGTTTGTGTTCATCAGGCACCAGAAGAGTATGAAGAGACCATGGTATGTTCTTTTTATTTTGATTGTTCATAATTTCTGTTAAATATTATATGCTACACACAATACAAATGGTTTCTTGAAACACACTGTGTTTGTTTTTATTTAGCATGTGCTAAAGTTTGCTGAAACAAGCCAAGAGGTTACAACTTATCGTACACCTGTCCAACCAATTCCTTTCCGTACACCTTGTACACAGAGTCGGCCACGGATACGAAATGGTTTTCGTAATTCTGATCATCGTTCAAGTGCAACAGGAAGTTCTGTCGTAACTATTGTAAGTCTTCAAAAGTTTATGTTTTGTTTATATATACCGCATATATGTCCGTGATGCTCATTGGTTAGTCTTCATAAGACAGTGAAGCGGGAGGTAGTTTGAGTATACTTCTAATGTAGTGTGAACGACTAGTGATGTTGATGAATAGTAGCTGAATCATAGATATGAGTGTCGTTTTAGGTATATTTCACAAATATCAAAAACAAGCACACTCATAAGGTAAAGAATCAGTTTTTATTTCTTATAATGATTCTTATTCACCGAACAATCGGTTTCAGGAAAGCATATTTTCATATCATTGTATCTTGCATACCAAGCCTACACTATTGTTAACTGGTTTTGCTAAGCTTTCACTCTGAGTGTAGCGTACTTGTTTTTTTAATTTACAGCTTGATTCCACACTGTATTTTTGGTACAAGTATGGAATTTTCAGCATGGATATCGCTAGCCCAAATTTTGCAGGCCGACCATAGATATCAGGTATGCGTCGGCAGGGGATCGAACCTCGGACCATGTGTATGGTCGGCGAGAGTCCTAACCACTGTGTCACCGACGCACTCGGGAAACAGATAACCACTTTGTACTACAGATTATTATTATTGTTACCTTGGGTTCCTAGTGGGCTTCAACTGCACGTCTCCACTTGCCACTTCTGTCTTCTGCTGTACTTTTCACCTCCATCCATGTTAGTCCATACTGTTTCAACTCCTCTTCACACGATCTCCTCCATGTCACCCTTGCACTGACGTCCCACTCGTCACTTCCCTTCCGGGTTCCACTGGAGCAATGTCCTGACGCGCGCGCAATGCCACCCAGCGGCCTCCTCAGCAAGTGTCCATCTCCACTTTCTCCTGCATATTTGTTGGGCGATTGGTTCCCGTTTGTTCCTATAGTTTCTTGTTGGTGATTCTTCCCGGCCTGGCCATTTGATCTTCAGTATAGAGCGAAGACAGTTGTTGATAAAGGTCTGCAACAGGCTGTTGATAATATTCTTTGTGACTCGCCCGCCAAGTTTCTGATCCCTTCCGTGTAGAAGAACTGACTTGACGTTTGTATTGAAGATCCGACTGAATTTTGTTGTTGATGCTGAGTGACGAAGATTTCCAGATTGGTTTCAGGTGTATTACAGATTGATAAACTGAATGTCAGAAGTATTTATCTCAATAATAATATTTCCGGTGGCGATGTTGATTTATTATCTTGAACACCGGATTTCCATTCAATGGATCCGGGATCTGAGTACAACACTGTTTACTTCTGTTTAAAAGACAACGTATTATTTTCAATACTCACGTCTGAGTGTTAGTTCTGACAACCCAATAATCTGAGAAATAGTCTGCTTCTTAATTCCCCATAACATTTAGTTTAAGCCAAGTCGGAAGGTGCACATTTCCTGGTTTGGGTCTTCAGAATGATAAAAGCCAATGCCTGGAGACAGTTGGCTCAAAGTTGTTTCTAATGGCGCAGATGCATTCACTGTTTGTGACTTATCACATCCAGTAAAATTCTATTGTCCTTCTATGTAACTATTCTTTTTGCTTCACTTCTGTTTATTATCTCTCTTGAATCTCTGTTTACTCTCTTCTCTTGCTGTCTGTGCTGCATGGAGGGAGTGTGGCAAATCGAATTGCTGCACAACTGTGCTAAGTTCTATGTTGAAACCAGTCAGTCAGTCCTATTCATTGCGATTCCTATATATGGTTAAGAGAATAATAATCTTAAATAGGAAAAAAGTCAGTCATCATCCGAGATTGAAACTTGTGTCATTCGAGTTGTGAATGATTCTATCAGAAGGTAACTAAGGTTGTTGTTGTGATCGTCCTTACTTTTTGACTCTTTATCTACAGGATATCGATGATGAAGCAACGCAAATTTTCAATGAAGTCGAACACTTAGATAATGAAATCACCGCGTATATTGACAAAATGACTAATGACGTCAATGCGTTGGATTCAGATCCCGATATAACTGATCTCAGTGACTCGGAACAGGAGAATTGTGACCCGTCTGCTTGTGAAAGTGAACAAGATTCAGCACCTGAATCAGAAAGATTGCCAAGATATATACGTGAATTTATGAAAGTGATGGATACAAGACCGTTACAAGCTTTAGTTAAGCGACGATTAGATCTTAAAAAGCGGGCATGTGCTTCTACAGAAGCATTACTTCTTCAGTTGAAATCTTTGATCCCTGCGTCTCCATTGGTGAACGAGACACCTACTTGTGCAGAGGTTACTACTACTACTACTAATACTACTACTACTACCCCGAACAATCCCAAACCTGTCAAAGTAAGTGATTATTTCATTTATCTTTTTACTGACAGAAAAAGTGTGTTTGATCTGTAAAAGTGGGCGATGTTTATAGAGGTCTAAATGTGTAAAATCCGAAACATCAGAATAAGCAAAATATGGCAAATATGAAATGAGATGGACGATAGAGAAGTGTCTTAATGTTAACTATTGAGCGTGATTTGTTAGTAACCACCTAGTGTTAGGCTTTTCTAGCCACAGATTTTTGACATGAGCTGAACTGAAATGAGTTTTCGTTGTAAAAGTAGGCATAGAACTGTAGCACTTCAAGTCGTTACACTTTAGAAAATTTTATTTATTTATTTTAGATTACAGCTTGATTCCACACTGTATTTTTGGTACAAGTATGGAATTTTTAGCATAGGATATCGCTAGCCCAAATTTTGCAGGCCGACCATAGATATCAGGTATGCGTCGGCAGGGGATCGAACCTCGGACTATGTGTGTGGTCGGCGAGAGTCCTAACCACTGTGCCACCGACGCACATAAAAGAACTATAATGCAGGGAAATATGTAGAAAAAATAAAGAATTGCATCAGAACTAACGAGTATTTAATGAATCTAAGGAATCATAAAGAGTGAATGTATCCATTCTGCTGAGTGATTTTAAACTATACGACAGTCTCAAGCTATTGGTTCTTAAAGTCCCAGCCAGTCAGTCTGCACCTCCGTATGTGGCTCAAACCAACAGTCGATGACTTAATAATTATAATTAGTTCCCTTTATGAAATTAGATAAAGCAATAAGAAGACGTGATTTATCTGAATCGTGTAATGTTGTATTCGCGCCCTACACATTTCGAACAATTCGATCACACACGGACTTGTCATAGGAATATATATGATGAAATTAATAAAGAGGTAAGAGGTGAGAAAATAGACCAATTAGGTCAAGTTAAAAAGACATATTGAAGGTCAGAATAACAATGAAGATCACTAAACCAAATAGCAGAGGTAATAGTACATCTGCTACGGTTTCATCACGTCAAACCTTTCTTCGTAAATTTTGTTTTGATACCGTAACAGATGTAATATTACCTCTGCTATGTAGTTTAGTGGTCTTTCTTGTTATTTTGCCCTTGAATATGTCCTTTTAACTTGACCTGAGTGGTGTATTTTCTCACCTCTTACCTCTTTATCAGTTTCATGTATGAATTCGTGCGTGATCAGATTGTTCGGAATATGTTGCGCAAATACAACATTACACCATTCAGACAAATTGCATCTTATTGCTTTATTATAATAATTATAATAGTAGCTGAATTGTGGACAGTGTTGATGAAGTGCATAGCATTATCACTGGGATGTATTTAGGATAATAAAAGTGATAAATTGCTTTATTTCAAAACAGTGCTACGGTTACAGTATGACATTTTCAGCATTTGGTACAATATCACATCTTTATCGAATAATATTAAAAACAACCATCAAGGCAATACTACAGGATTGTTAATAACAGTTCCTATGTAGTATTTGCAGTGACAGTGAAGTCATACGTATACACCAAAAACTATAATTTATTAAATAATCATAGCTTTATTCCAAACAGTATTTGTGGCACAGGTATGGAATTTTCAGCGTGCATTACAATATATTGCATCTAATTACCTCATAAATTTTATAAGATTTTCCGAACACAAAGGAACAACCAAAAAATAGATAAATAAAAAGGTCAGCGTTCCATTTACATTTTAAACAATGCACCACAAGATATGAAATATAAAATTAGTGTGTAATAGAAGATGTGAACAACAATATAATAGTAACGAAGAAAGGAAAACAAAAACTAATGGGACTATTTGTTAGAGTGCCGCAGTAAGTTGATCGTGTCATACCTGAAGGATTTCTCATCACATAACAGATATGGTATGTGCCAGATACGGTATTGTGGAGTTTTTGTACTTGGTAGTCCTAACATATAGCCTCCTATAGCCACTTCTAGTTCTACCAGATGAAATGCAAGGAGAGAGCTGCGTATAGAGAGGATCCTCGGGGTCTGACAACATAGTATTCGCTAGTTTCTTACATGACATTATATGTCTATCCACAATAGTGTTAACCAGTTGGTTTAACGATATCCCACTTGCCCTATTAACGGCTTCTAGTGCCCTTCTCAGCAAAGCAAAGTCTTTCTTAAGTAGTCCAGGAAAGATTAATGGGGATCAGTAAAGAGGGATGGGTAGAATACAAGAATTGACAAACTGAGAAAGCAAAGACTGCTTTATACCAGACTGCCTTAACTTCCTAACGTAGAACGTTAAGCGAAACATCTTTCTAGTGACTAGTAAGATATGGGAGGACCAGGAAAGATCGGAGGAAATACTCAGTCCAAGGTACTTGACATTAAATGTAATTTCAACCTCTATGCCGTCAACGATAGCGGGGCCATGTGCGCTAGCTAGTTGTTGTAGGTCACGTTTACCTATGAAAGTGAAATTGACTACCTGACATTTAGACAGATTCAGCTTAAGACCGTTTGAAGAGGACCACTGACTAATTTCCGACAGAAAGTTGTTTAATTTGGAACAATCTGACTGAGAGTTGACAGGCATAGAAACAGAGAGAGGTCATCAGCATACTTAACAAAAGTAGCTACACCAGAGTGGGGCAAGTCATGTAAGAAGAAAGAAAACAGAAAAGGAGAAAGAACAGCACCTTGAGAAACACCAGCTAAAGTAAGTGAGGTAGTGGAGGACTTTCCATTGTAGACGATGTACTGCTTCCTATCAGAAAAATAGGAATGCAACTACTTATTTGTCCAGTTCTCAGCCTGTGTTGCAGCAAGCTTACTTAGCAAGAGGGACCTGGAAACAGAGTCAGATGCAGATGTGTAATCAAGGAAGGCACACTGAACGTATTTAGCTCCTCTATCTAAACTCGAGATTATATTATAATATAGGACAACAGCGGCATCTAAGGTACACCTACTATGTTTTTAAGCGAACTGGTTGGGGTCATTGAAAGGCTTTAAAGAGGGTTCAAGATTAAGTAAAATAAGTCTTTCCATAACTTTCGAAAAGGTGAGGTAATAGCAATGGGTTTAAACTTGACACTTGTTGATTTAGGCACAGGAACAATCTAGATATTTTTCCATGAGTCAGGTATAATACTTTTGGAAAAAGATTCGTTGAAAATGTCGGTTAACGGGGAACATAAGATGTCAGCACACTTCTTAAGGATAACAGCAGGAACACCATCAGCACCAAGGGAGTGAGTAGGTTTGAGAGATTGAAGACACTTAAGGACATCATTCGTGTTAAAGCATGAGAAGCAGTCATTATTTACACTACTGGAGTTAGGAATCGTAACATCCGCAGGGATACATACAAAGGATTTATTAAGCATGTCAACATCGGCAGAAGTATCATTTATTATTTGCTTACCACCTGTGCTTTCTTTTAATGACTTCCACATATTAAATGAGGATTTACATGAAAGAAACTTCTGGTTATAAAGAGCATTCAATCTTTGTAATTCAGCTTTAATCAAAGTGTTCATTCTCTTAACACCAGATTTATCTTTCATTTTGTACAACCTCCCTTTTTCACAGTGAAGCTTTTTGAGTTGAGAAGAGGAGAAGCGGTTGAATTTTAAGAAGATTGTCCCTTTTGGGCAACAAACATCAAGACAGAAATTAAGATAATGTGTTATGTTAGTAATTGTGTTATCAAAAGCTTCTTCAGTAAATAAGTCCCAGTTTGTGTCTTTTAACATGGTCCTTAGATTCTGTATGTTGTCATGAGAATAACATGTGTTGTGTTTTCTTTCCAAGGTACGAGAAGACCCTTTTGTGCTGCTTGCCATATACTTTGGGCAATATTCTTATGATACAGTGATCTGAATTTAGTAGTGGGGTTCTTTTTCGAGCTTCAAATATTCCTGCGTCATTTGTAAACACAAGATCAAGAGTGTTATCCATTCTAGTCGGGAAGTTGACAATGTTATCATGTCCAAGTGAAATAAGGAAGCTGTGGTCACTAGAATTGAAATCTCCAGTAACTATAGACAAGGAATTTCCGAAGGAGGTGGCAGCAAGGAAGATAAATTCATCCACAAATAAAGACAATTCTGTGGAATTGCATCCAGGAGCAATATAAATGTTCGACATGTGTATGTAGTTATATTTGGACAAATGTTTAGGTCGACAGTTAACGATAAGACAGTCAATATTGTCACTAGAGAATTTGAAACATGCATTATTAGATGTATTACACCATTGTGATTTGATGAAGATGACGACACCGCCACCGCGATTCTTCCTGGAACTACACCGATCTTGTCTGAATAATTTGAAATCATTTAGATACACTAGATTGTCATCATATAGATCATGTAGCCATTTTTCTTGATGTCCCACTACTTAATTATGATCACTGTATAATAAGAATATTGCCCAAAGTATGTGGAAAGCAGCACGAAAGGATCGTCTCATACCTTGGAAAGAAAACACATGATATTTGTTTGAAAAGCAACTTGAAAAAGTGCAGGACTACGTTTTGCTACCGGAAAACTTGGTTGAATGATTGTTTCCTAGGGAGTGGGAGTTTGTACTAAAAATGTCAGGAACAGTTATATCATGTATTGGGATATGCCACCACCCAGGACTATGCTTTTTCCCAAGTTGAGTAGAAACTTGTGAATCATCAGTAGGAAACACTTTAAACACTTGTGAGGATAATTGATACCATTAAAGATCACTTTTCCTAAATTAAAACTATGTGAACATTAGAAATAAGATGCAATATAATGGTGGGTTATGTTGGCAGCCCCTCCCCCACCGAGTTTTGGACTGGTCACCTTTTTTCATGGATTTATGGTAGGTTTTGTTTGATCCACGGCATTTATTTCAGTACACATCAATCCATATAATCACAATTTCGTTCAGAAGGATTTTAAAATTCTGAAAGAGAGTTGATATTCAGATTTCGGTTAGGAAATCAGCGAAATCCGCAGATTAGTTGTTACGTTAGTTAACTTCGACTTCAGTTGGTCTACATGGCAGCCTTGAACCCACACCCAACTTGTCGCCGTTTATTGGGGTTCTTGTAGACTGCTTTCTTTGTGTCATTTTGAAGTCTCCTCGAGTGTATTTCTAATTTATCTCAATTCCTTCCAGTGTAACTGTTGTCTGATTCACCACTGGAGTTCCTTGTTGCTTATCCTTTCCAGCTGGCAATCTGATCTTCAGTATAAAGCCGTCGATAAAACTCTACAGTAACTTGTTAGAAATGCTTTCGGTGACAAACACATCATGTTTCGGAACCATATGAAATCCTTGACTTCACATGATTTCCCAGTTAGCTAGAGCTTATTATGCATGAACTTGGATGTGGGCGATTTATTTTGTGTGGAAGTTGACACCATTATCTAAGTAGCTCAGGCTGAAATAAATGGAGCAAGATTCGAACACCACCGACTGATTATGAGTTGCGTGCTTAACTGCGTAAACGACATTCACATCAGCGAAATTACCCACAATGTGTATTTACTCTAAATCCTGCAGATATTTCCCATCGATTTAGTTCCGTTGTACAATTTCGTGTAACAGATGAGTAACGTAATTTGTTGTGCTTATGATAAGCCACGTATTTCTTAAATATTTTTGATTGTGTTTAGAAAATGATACAGCTAGATGTGCATGTTTATTATTATGCTGCTTCAATCAATTTTTGAACTAACATGAATACACCTTTAATTAATTTTTGAAAAAATTAGAATTTAGTTAGTACACTATCAAAACAATGGGAATCCCGATTAGCCCAACAGCAAGCTGAGGCTAGGTCAGCAGTGCGTCCTAACTTTAAAAGAATTGATGACCGATACGGAGTAACTCCATGTAAACCAGTTGAACGACGTGCTGCTCCTCCATTCAACCCTCGACATCGTCGATCTCGATCAGTTGGTGCAGACAATGGACGTTGGTTAGAACATCAAGAAGTGAATACTACTCCGCTAGGTACATTGTTTACACCGAATTTAAAACATCGAAAATCTGTAACTCGTGTTGAATTGAAAGACACTCTGAATGCGGATAATTATCTTCTACATCATCAAGAGGCTGATTCAGATGGGAATGTTGAAACTAAATTATTTAAGGTGAGTTTTGACTAACTAATAATTGTTTTATTTTTTCAAAATATTTTTATTCCTTACATTCCCAGTGGGAACATAGAGCTTCAGGCTAGAGCCTCGGAGTTTCGATAGCTGTGGTTTGCATTTTTACGGGATGGGGTAGCTAGCCTCATGGCAAACCCTCCCCTTTTTACCAGTCGTACAACTGGTTTAGTTAGATAAGGTAGTATGCGTCGGCGAGGGGTCGCACCCTAAACCACATGGGTGTTTGGCAAGCACTCTCCTGCTGTGCCACCGACGCTAAAAGGGCGTCCGGAAGTAGTGAACGATTCATGTCTCTGGAGAGTGGGCAACAGGTGCCCTATCCGACCTTGTACACGGGGCTGCCAAATATCCGCTGACGCACAATTCATAATACTACTTGTTATATCATGCTGAAATATCACAATGATTATGAAACCCCTACAAGCGATTAGGTGTGAGGATGAAATCATAGGTTGTCAATTAGAGTGTTAGCGACGAATTATCAATATGCTGATTATGGGTATCTGGATTTGACTTATGCGTAAAAATTGGAAACATGGTACCCTATTGGGTGTAAGAATGGTGAATAGAATTTACAGACCTCATACTTTGGCTCATGCAGATTGAGTGCCGTAAAAAGCACTGTCAACGTGCAATTATGACAAAAAGCAACAGAGCTGTCTGAATTATTGGCGCGTGGTTAAACCGTAATGTTTCAATTCCATATTAGTTTTGAATTGAATTTTTGATTTTCCCGTCGATTGATTGGACCGAAGTGCTCGGTCTCAGGTTGACATGTCGGCTTCTTGTGCAGATGCTTCGACGATGTCTGGGTATTTAATTAGTATACAATTGGTGGATGGTGGCTAGCAGTGGAATCCAGGATGCGCATTTCGTCCTATTTGGGACTCGTCAGCTGGATGTACCTGCATTTCTCAGTGAGTGATGATGTTCCCACCGAGGCTCGAACCCAGTACCCATAGTTTCCAACGCCGAAGCGTTATCCACTAGACCACTTGGGCCACGAGAGCCACCTCTTGTGCAACGGGTCATATTAATTATTGAATTGAATTTTTGATTTTCCCGTCGATTGATTGGACCGAAGTGCTCGGTCTCAGGTTGACATGTCGGCTTCTTGTGCAGATGCTTCGACGATGTCTGGGTGTTTAATTAGTATACAATTGGTGGGTACTGGGTTCGAGCCTCGGTGGGAACATCATCACTCACTGAGAAATGCAGGTACATCCAGCTGACGAGTCCCAAATAGGACGAAATGCGCATCCTGGATTCCACTGCTAGCCACCATCCACCAATTGTATCCATATTAGTTTGTTTCTTGCATACAGCAGACTGTGAAACACTGTTTTTCTTACTGGATAATATCTCGGATATAGTTTATTCTTCATAATCTCATAAAATGTAATTCCATAACTTAAAATCTCGGTTTTTATAGTTACTGTTCGAAAGAGACTGTACAATTTTTTCTTCACGCGAAGTTCTGGTCATGTGTTGCCTTATTGCCGAAGCTTCTGTTATGCAAAGCAAGTGCTTCCTTTCATGCCCATTTCAGCGAATATATCTTGACCTGGTAGACACTATTGAAAGATACATCAAAAGTTGTGTGATCATTGTCTCCCACATGGTATGATATTGGTGGAATTAATGGGTCTACTCTCTCTTCTCGGTCAAGCTGAGAGGTGCCCCCGAATGCACGCAAGCATGTTCATCGATGAACCTCTTATGTATCTAGCTCCACAAGAGCAGGTGGACGTACCAATATATGTATATATATATATATATATATATACGAAGTTTAAAAGTTACGTAGTTGCCTCGCTAAGGCTGTGAGTAATAAATTTGACTGCCGACATCATCAGTATGGATGTGTGATTTTATCACTATGAAAACAGTTAGTTATAAGAATCTACACAAAAGTACAACACCATTATGAGAGTTTGTTAATCTCTCCAGGATTAGCAAATTTGATCAACCACTGTTGTATTACACTAAACATTGGTTTTACATTTGTTGTTTATGAACAGCTGGCTGCTATTATTTAAGTATATTGTTTAGTGAACTAAGAGTACCCAAGTTTTGCTTGTGGATGTCATTGGTTATAGACGTAAACTGTGAGAAGGTAGTATGCGTTCCATGAGACAGAAAAAAACTTCTATTTGAAAGCGTAGTATAGCTGTGTAGTCGTTGTCGCCTAGTGGAACAGCTGTCTATTTACAGTAACTTGCCCCATCCTTTCTAACTAAAATTGCTACTCAGAGCTTTCAGAATTTGTTTATTATCATCTTTCTTATTTTTTTTCACAGGGTGCTATTATTCCTACAGCTGGTGGTGGTTCAGCTGTTATCTTTAATGACGTTGAAGTTCTACGTCAAACTTCTCCTGTTCATGAGAGGTGAGTCAGTCAGTTAGTCAGTCATTCACTGAATAAAACGAGATATATTGATGTAACAGTGTACAGGTTGGTGTGTTGTTCTGGTGCTGTTATTAACAATTGGTTGTATACAGGAATTTTTACCTGCCATCCTCTGATGAGGAGCTGTGACCAGCGGGGTCCAATGGTTCAAGCATAAGGACAGTTACTCTCCGATGACATTGGCTGCACCATGAATATCGCTAACTGGCAGAAGTTAGAACCCATAGGCCATTAGGTCGGATTCCAGTGACTGGATTGTCTTCGAGCTCTCCTTGTAAGCGGATCTAAGCCTGGTTATTCACTTAACCCACCTATACTAATGTCAAGAGACTCTTCGGTTGGTTCGCGAACTCTGGCAGGTGTAGGAATATCGTTGAGTGCGTAAACAGGAAAATCTCCACTTGACTGGAACCCAGTGGATAGTCGTACGTGTGCTGTCCGGATCCTTTAGAAGAAGAAGAAATTGCGATACTCGTTATTGTCTTTTTATAAACTCCGCTTACGTCCCAACTGACTTGAGTTTGGACGAAGTAAAGGGTGAGTCCTATCAGAAGGCGTTTAGTTTCACTGCTAAGTGATGATCAGGTATTGTCGATCCTGCAGGCGAATTCAATGTGCTAGTGAGAAAAATACGTTGGCAGCATCTATGGAGTTTCACTTCTGTTCAGATTATCATATTTTCTTGGTCAGCACTAACTTCGAACGCAAACAGGGACATCCTGTAACCTAGCGACCTCCATCATCAAATGAACAACGAACTGAAATAGACCACATGGTGATAAGCTATCTATAGGGATAGTCTGTAGAATAAATGCGTAGACGTCGATCGCTCCCTAACCTGTGTACATATCTGCCTACAATTAAATGGACAGAAGAAAGGGCCATGTCACCATATTATCTATATTCTCCAGCTGCCAGTCCTTAGTGTCCTGAAAACCCCAGTTAGGTAGTGTACACCTCCCTACATAGCTCAAGCCTACTGTCAAAGACTGCATGATGCCAGGTTTTGGTGTGATCACCCCTAACCTCCTTCCAACCTAATCTTATGTCAGCTAACGCTGCTTGTCAAGGAGTGCGATGGCTAAACACGCGCAACACCTTGTCCCAGTCACCTCTACCTATTTAGCTGCATAAACTCATCAATTGACTTAACTTCCTCACCTAAGACTGTGCTTAGTCCGAGTATTACCATATTATACCACTCAACACGATAGATAGAACGCAAACATCTGTGTACACGGACAGATAGACTTTCCATATCTTCCACTCTCAATGGCCGTCTCTCAGTCATAAAGGAGGATGAAGCAAACTGTTCCGCAATGGACATGTTCTTTGATTGATAGCCGTATATCACATATGCGCCAGGGATGACAAGTTCCACACGAGTCTTTTGTATCCGTGCCTAGATTTCGTCGACAATGAGGCCTTAGGGTGAGTTGCAACTCCCCATTTCACTCCATATCCCTAAGCTAGGAGGCGATTTAGTCCAGTCCTGCAACATCATCTTAGATTTGATGGAAGTGAACTGTACACCAAACATTTGAAGGTTTCTGCTCAAGGTGTTGAGAGGACTCTGCATTTGTCAGTCGAATTATGTCAGAATCTTCTGCCTCATCCTAATAACCCTAATCTTCGGTCCTGACCTGTACTTGTCTTAGCCCGCAAATTACGGGTTGTTTTAAAATGGCGTAAAATTAAAAGTGTACAGTATTTTAATAATTATTCTTCCTACAGTTTGTATTTTACTTATTGATCGGTTGAATCAGTCAAAACGCTTAAACACCCCTCCAACTATTGGTTAGGAATGTAATTAAGTCGGGATATACGATTCTCGGTGTTGACATTTCTAACTGCTCAATTTCTTCGGAGATGCAGGACGAGTATAAATAACTCTCTGGTCATCCGAAAAATTATGGATACATAACACTTTTGTTAATTACTCTTCCGTACAGGATATATTTAGGTCATCTAGATGCATATTACCTTCGTTTAGCATCGAGTTTACCAATCATATGTGCTCGAATTGATTTATTTTGGAGTGAATTATTGTTCAAGCCATCTACTTTTAGAAAGACTATTGAGAGAGATAGTTGAAACATATAGAAAGTCAAAACAAGTGATTCAGCGAAGAGATTTTCAACAACGAATTTATCATCAAGCTGTAAAATCGTATATATATGGCTTTTAGAAGTTATATCCAGTGAGGGAATTGAATCAAAGGTGTTCGGCCGTTCGACTCGAATTTTGTCCAAGAGGGTGCAAGAACACTATCCTGCATGGCTACGAAAACGTGGAAGTGAAGCAATAAGAAGCGCGATCATTGAACATCTGGTCGATAATGATCACCCTATCTCTATAGCCTCCACCTTTAACGTCATCTACAAGGCAAAGAGTAATTTACCCAAATCCCTACATACCCGACTCATCTGTATTGCTATCGAAACAGAAAAGCCAGATCTCTATACAGAAAAAGTTCGTTCAACCCCTCCAACTTTCATGGTCTTAATCTCTCTGTGCTAAAGTATGGTAATCTCCGATCATATTTTAGCTCTACCAATTTTTCATTTTGTCTATTTAACTTGTAGTCTCTTCCTTATTACGTCAGTTGTTATCATTACTATTCTCACTTTGAACTGTCCCCGTTATTATTTCACTTGTTCCACTTGTCATTCTAAATCAATTCTTTTTTTACAACGTTAAATTCTATGCTATCAAACTTCACACAATATTACGTAACGTTTTTTGTTTTATTCGATTTGTCTACTAATCCTATAATTACACACCCTTTTTCAAGTTCTATCCATCCTATGAATTATTCTATAATATGACATTAATTTGTTTTGTTACTTGCACTGCAATTGCTGAGCTATTTTTTAAATTACTTATCTTCGCAGGGTCAACCATTCTTACCTTAGCTAAATTCTTATGTTCTGACAATCTGACTACCCCTGACCTACTAATTTGACCTATGTAGTTTACCACACTAACAGTCATTGCAGGGTATTTTGTAAATTATATTATTTTGTCTAATTGGGTCCTTTAACCTACAGAGCTTGTCCTACCTGAGTGAGGTTGTAGGTGTGAATGCCACTCTAATTCCTGCTTTATTTAGAATCCTACGTAGGGCTTCAGATGTCCTCTCTTTATATGGTATAACTGTAGATGACTTATATTCTCTCATATATATGTTATTATTATTATTATATCAATAAATAAACTGCCTTCCTTACATCTGTGTTTAAAACGAGTTTATCTTTTCTCTCTATCTACTTGTAATCGTAATACTTGGTTTACATCACATATATCTTCAGGAAAAGTGGTTGTATCAATAGTCCTGATGTTCACTTAAAACAACAGACCGAAACCAAACAAACTGGAGTCGTAACTCGTCAATCAGCAACAAAACGACGTTATTCTAATTCATCACCAACAAAACGGCTTTCCGCAGAATCGAATTCAACACAAGGTTCATGTAATTCACAGAGTACAACATCATCTGCTTATAGTGAGATTAGTCCACCGGTGAAGAGAATTCCAGATGTTGTAATGAATGATGAAACCATTCAGACAAGATGTCGTATAGGGATTGACAGTAGGGGTGGAATGGGTTATCAACCATCGCCTAGAGAAAGTCATCCACAAAAGTAAGTTCACAATGTTTTCTTTTCATTATATGATGCTTTTATATTCATGTTTGAATATCTATGTCTTTGATTCAGTAGACACTTCTTCTTCTGTCAAAAGTCATTCTGTCACACACACTGTGAAAGACTATCTTAACATGATTTGCCTACGATATAAGCATTTATTCTCTGAATGAAAGACGTCTGGTATAGGCACGAATTAATTTCAACAAATCTCAAAAAACCTTCCATTTAAGTCCTCAGTTGACATCTGATACTAAGTGTTTTTCGCTTGCTATCGATTTGTACTATAAAAAACAACCATCGTGTATACCATAAATAACAGTTGGAAAATATGTGACATTTATTTTTTACCTTCGTAGTAGCTGAATGACAATTTCCCCAGTAATTTCTAATTTGCAACGATTTTCTTTTTGATTTTAATGTATAGTTAGAATTACATGTAGAATAGATTCTGGTGTGTTTTTGCTAGTACACAACAGCCTACTTAGTTGACGATGGTTAGCTCTTGTCATAGGGTTAAATTTGCCTACATACCTCGATTCCCAATATCACATATTGACAACACGAAGACCAAGCACTGTTATGGTTAAATCACGAGTGAACGTTCAAATTTCGATTCGAAGAGAAAACCATGCAATATCCATTTAAAGGCAAACCATATGATAAAGAACTGTTGGTCTCTTAGACCTGTACGATTGCAGGCTGTGGTTGGAGACAGCACACACATTGCTACACAGAGGACAGGAATTATCCGAGGATACGAAAACCGATATGCACATCCACCTCCTACAGTGTAGTTATATATATGAACTTGTACATGACTATGACGAGTGACGTAGCGTTCGCTATGAGTACCCCTTTTAGCTGGATTATAACGATAGATTTGTTCAAACCGGTGCATTTCTGGATAGTGGGTCAGACGCATCGCTCGTTGCAGAATATCTGGCAAGGTAATTCGGTTAAGAATGAACAACTAAAAAAGTCTCTTTTAAGACTCTGGGCTCATAATCCACTTTATCCTGCAGGCAAGTACAACTGGAGGTTTCTTCACTAGAGTCCCTTACTCAGGTTACTGTGTTGAAGGCATGGACAGTAAAGGAATTACACCAGTTGCGAGGAGTTGTACTGACAATAGATCAGATATCATTGTGGAGTCAATTACAGCATGGTGTTGTTCTACCAGACATGAAGAATGAGGAGATTATGGTGCTTATATGTTTTAGCGTTCTATAGGTACATGTGACGATTGATAAAGGGTTCGGTGGAGCTAATGAATCTTTCTCCATAAAAACTTTTTTAAAGTGCTGGTGGTAATGGACATCAACGGGACCATACAATCAGATCCTTGGAGGAAGGGCAATGGGGAATTACACCTTGTCTAAGAAAAAATAATACTAGTTATGTTCGAATAGTTTTATAAGAATGAGTTTGACGACTCGGATATTTACGTATCCATGTCCGTCGAAGATGATAAAGCTCGTAGTGGGATGTTTTCAGTGATAGTATGTTTTCGAACACGTGATTTTCGAACAATGATAACTAGAACAACTCTTTTGTCATTTGTGGCTTCGGTATTCGACTCAGCTGGAATCACAGCGCCAATGCTGTTCTCTGTTTAAATCAATTTTGCAAGATACCTGTAGAAGGAGATGAGAGTGAGATGCAGACCTGCTGGAAGACTGTGATCTTGCCGTCTGGAATGGGTGGTATGAGGAAATTAATTATTTGAGTAAAATCCGTATTCCTACTTCTTGTGAGTCGTTAACCATTCAACTTCTCTGTTTCGCTGGTGCTTCGGTTCGTATACGGTACTATTGCATATATCCGTTTGGCATATGTTTCTCGTCAAGCTCACTGTTCCCTACTGTCAGTCGAATTCGGAGTCGCACCACTGAAATCTGTTATTATACCTAGATTGGTATTAGCAGCTTCTGTAATATGCTTTAAAATTGGTTAATATCTGCGTGTGAGGAATGGTTACATAAATACACCTTCCAATGCTGTGCAGATAAGATTGTAGTGGTTAGATATGAAGAGGAGCAACCTATAACTCGGTAATCTCGTGCGGGTTAACAGTAGTCAGGACAGAGGGTTTGGAAATTGTAACTCAGGATATTGAGCACCATATAACAAGCGTATGATTGTTATAAGAAGTAGACAGTGTGAATGTTACGGAGGTGGTGTGTCGACGTCTTGGTCGTTTCGTGAAGTCTTAATCGCGATAGACTGGTTGGCTTTTTGACAGCGCACCATTAAATATGACCCATTCTTATCTGTCGTGATTTTAATGTGATTATTTGTTGTTTTTGATGTGAACACCCACGCCTTCGTGTTGACATTGTGTGAGTGTTGTATTCTATCCTTGGATATTTTTATGTAAGGGTGACTGTTAAATTAGTCAGACTCAACTAACTCATCTTCCAACGCCTACGTGAATAGCATGCGAATGTCTGTCCGCCATGCGTAACTTGAGGTTACAAGGCTGTCTGTGTTGTGTGTATGTAATGAGGCAAAGCAGCATGACATGATGCATTTACTCCAGATATGTTTAAGAAAGGTTGTGACATATCGTTGTCCAATTTTACTAGGGTAATACGCAATGTCTGGAAATCAGAGCTGCTCCTGTGGAACTGGTGTATAAGTGCTTCATCTTATCCCAATACACAAGAAGCCAAACAAGTCCTCGTGTGATAATTTTGAGAAGATGAACTTGACCAATATATGGTGTTTAAATTTCCGGGTTGCGTCATGCGTTAATTAAGTGGTGCTCTAAGGAGACAAACACGAGAAACCCAGACAGACTTTGAACCGGGAACACATATGGACACTGACAGGTGTGCCCAATAAATTGACATATTTCTTGACTTTGAGGCTACATTCGATTCCGCAGGACGAGAGTTCCTGTGGAAGTGCTTGGCATTCAAAGAAGCTCCAAGGAAGCACGTGGCACACTAGTGAAGTCATTCGAACTCATGCTGTGTTGTGTAAGAGTTTTGTGATATATCCATATCCCTTGAATCATCCTGTTTTTCCCATAATGCTGTTATGTCTCTCTCGTATGTTTGCTTATTGTTATCCTCTTTTGAGTCTCTCATTTCCTCTCCATTATGTCTCCCTTCGTGTATTACATAGTGTGGCAAGTTAAATCGGTGCATTGCTGTAGATAGTTCTGTGGTGAAGCTAGGCAGCATCAGTCAGTGTATCTACTAGCCGCCACCGTTGGTTAAATATTTTATATGTGTCTGTGGAGGATCTGATTGAAAATAATATCTTTGTGTTAGATTGTAGTTGGCAATTAAACTCATGATACATATTTCATCCTTTTGGGGTTCGTTAGGTGAATATACTTGTATCCGCAATGAGTGTGATGATAGCATTTCCAGTGGGATTTGAAAAGTTGCAGAACTCACCGTTTCAGACATTATCGCTCACTGAAAAGATGCGGATACATCTAACTGTCCACTTCCAAATAAGATGACATTCACCTCCTGGATGCTTTGGTAGTGTTATCATCCAGGAAATAATGGAAATGCTCAGAGGCCCGAACATTTTGGTTAAATTTCATTTTGGCCTACATGAAATACTAAATTATAAACTTAAACTAAAGCATACTTATCTGCATATAGATATATGCCTTATTTTTAATTATAACACCGGGATATGTAATATTTTGAACACGTAGATCAGCGAAGAGTCTCTTTTCGGCGAATTTCTTTTGCTTAACTGTACAATCGCAAATATATATGCGATACTTTGTATGTATGTGTACATTAAGTTTGTCAAACTAAATTACAATTGGTTACGGTTAATTAAACTAAACGGGTGAAGATTGGTAATACAAGTCAAGAAAACTAAGTGTTAGTGAAACTAGGGTAGTAACAAAGGTGATGAGTTGTCACAAACAGTTGTTAAAAGAAGTTATGTAATAATATGAATAGTTTGATGAGTGAGTTTTACTCAGGATGTACATTGAAACAAAGTAGATAATACAAAAATACGTAAGAGTTCTAAATGAATACAAGAATTCTAAGCAATTAAAGAACAGGCAAACAAACAAAATTAAGCCATCAAAATCAACAAAGTTGTTATCATGACAGTAGAAGTGGTTGAGTAATTCTCTTTTGTATGCACAGCTCCAGTTTTTCTATGTAAATGGTCAGAGCTTCAGCGATACAAAGAAGACGAAATTGTATTGCCTTTGATAGGTTATTCTTGACTCTGTAGATTACTTTAAAGGAGGCGTTTGTTGAGATGGAATGATCAGTCTTGACCATTTCATCCATTTCAACAAACGCCTCCTTCAAAGTAATCTACAGAGTCAAGAATAACCTATCAAAGGCAATACAATTTCGTCTTCTTTGTATCGCTGAAGCTCTGACCATTTACATAGAAAAACTGGAGCTGTGCATACAAAAGAGAATTACTCAACCACTTCTACTGTCATGATAACAACTTTGTTGATTTTGATGGCTTAATTTTGTTTGTTTGCCTGTTCTTTAATTGCTTAGAATTCTTGTATTCATTTAGAACTCTTACGTATTTTTGTATTATCTACTTTGTTTCAATGTACATCCTGAGTAAAACTCACTCATCAAACTATTCATATTATTACATAACTTCTTTTAACAACTGTTTGTGACAACTCATCACCTTTGTTACTACCCTAGTTTCACTAACACTTAGTTTTCTTGACTTGTATTACCAATCTTCACCCGTTTAGTTTAATTAACCGTAACCAATTGTAATTTAGTTTGACAAACTTAATGTACACATACATACAAAGTATCGCATATATATTTGCGATTGTAGAGCTAAGCAAATGAATTCGCCGCCGAAAAGAGACTCTTCACTGATCTACGTGCTTTGATTTCATATTTTAAACATACCATTAATTTCTATGAATTTTGATTGCTTTTTCCTTGGTGTCATGTTAGGCGATCCAAAATGTAAATTTATGAGTGGATGAAGAAGTGCAAAAAAAACACGATCCACAACTCGACAACAAGATCGATATTCATTGTATATTTACCATTAACAAATAAAACGCGAAAATCAGCTGATCTTGCAGGAGAAATAACATGAAATTTTTGAAACAGTATCCTTTTTTTTAAAAAAAAAGACCCAATTTTTTCTTGCTTTTATTCACTGTGTCATCGTCATATTCATTCTCGTCGCCTAAGCTTATTTGTGTTTTCATTATTATTATTCCTGCTTCCTCATCATTTCCTATGACTTAATCTTTCATCTTATTATGCAGATAACGTAATCACTTTTGTACACACACAACTTTTTTCTTTCAAATCGACATAATGTTTTCTATCACTACTATCAAATCGGTCACAATCATTATTATTATTATTAATGATATCATTGGCTACCTTTTGTATTTTATTCTTTGTAACAAGACAATGAATACAATATTAGGTATCAATACATTTTGTGTTTATTGAATTTCACTGCGCGTACAGGAAGGAATGGAGTGTGCAGGTACAGTATTTCAATATTGAGGTTAGGCGTCGAGTTCTAGGTAAGGAGGGGAAATCAATCGACGAAGGCTGTGAAATGACATCGACTGAGATGGTTCGGACATGTGTTACATATGCCTGGTCATTGCCTTCCTCGACAACAGGCAATGTTAGTTAACGTAGGGTCAGGCTGGAAAGGAGCTAGCGGCGTTGGTCAAACCAAAACATTGCACCAGTAAATAAAATCTACCACACTTAGTTTAAGCTCGCCACGTAGGAAGGTGTAGACTTCCTGACTGGTTGGGGTCCTCCGGACGGTAAAAACCAATGGTTGAAAAAACAATTGATGATATGGCTCAAAATCGTTGTCAGTGGCTGGTGCAGATTCATCCACTCCCTGTGACTTATAATTTCCAATGAAACTATATTGTTCTTCGTTATAACTATTCCTTTGTCTCACACTTCTGTTAACTGTCTCTACTGTGGATTTCTTCTCTTGCTTTGTGTGCTATGTGTGGGGAGTGTGGCGACTTGAACTGGTGCACATCGGTGCAAAATTCTATGTCGAAAACAGACAGACATTTCAACCGATGGACCAAAACTTGTTTCTAGTATATATATATACAATCTGTAGGATCTTTAACTTTGGTATTAAGGGGGAAACACATCATATGAAGCAGTATCGATGATTTAAAAGTAGGTGCGTGTGTGTAAAGATAACGACTCAAAAATTTTGCTGGATAGATAACTGAAACAATATAAGGTGTAGAGGGATGAATAAGTTGTGTATTGATGTGATGGATTGCAAAATTAGATGGTGATAACCCAGTGAGTTGATTGATTCAAACAGATAGCCAATTATTATCTCGTTCGGTAATGTGCACTCAACTATATTTAGTGGGTTTTTTGTAGATGGGGTGAGTAGAATTGATTATCAGATGGTACGGACGTGAATCATTTTACTTTGTTACAAAGTCGTTTTTAGGAATATACAACATTGTGACATAATTATGAGACTAAAGCTAGTAAGGTGTATAAGGCTCCTACTGGTAGTAGTGTGGTGAGATAGCTGTCTACTAAACAAAATTGGTAGACACTAATATACGTCAATGATGTTTACGTCCCGAATCCGGGTCATGAGAAAAAACAAGAACAAAGCCTAACCTTGGGAGCTCAAAAACCAATCACAGCAGGCTTAACGTGAGCAGATACGATTAACATATATCACCAGACTGTCTGGGAAACGGTAACAAAGAGATGGCGGAATAACCTTCAGCAAGAAAACAACTAATCAAAAGACGTTGCTTCTGTTAACAATAACGCTAATAATAATGTACATAAAAATCTATAAATACTTGTTGATTTTCTCAATAAACTATGTTTTCCTGTCCCTTGTCTTCTGTCGTTACGATCCTAGCAAGTAAAATAGACACCTACAATCTAGACGTGATGTTGACACCTGATTCATTGTATAATTTGATGTATGTGATGAAATCCTTTAGCAAAACTAAGGGGATAGAGACAACTGTAATCACCAGCCCCCCACCACCACCACACACACACGGAGTAGTAGTAGTTGTTATGTACTCGTCGCTAAATTATTGTTATGGTCTGGTCGAGAAACTAATAGTCCTGACGCAAGAAGGCAGAAATCAGAAGACCACTAGGTTTGCGATGATACTTCTATTTCCAAACACAAGGAGAATGTAAAAGTGGTATCACACCAAAAAGGTAAGTGTAAGTCAGTCACACAAATTGTGAGAACGGAATATATATATAGCAAAATATAGCAGACATGTCAACAACCACCATATATGGATATATGTCACTAAGCAACGGACTGTCAACAAACACTCATATTATATTATATATATAAGGGGAATATACATTGTTAAAGGAGACAGGTTCATACAAGTGAAATGGTCACAGACTAAGAGAGCAAACAGAAAGAGAGACCAACATACACACACATAAATATATATATGTGGATACATATCAGTAGTGTAACAACAGAAGACAAGGGCCAGCCAAACAGATCCTTTATTAAAGAAATCAACACATGTTTATAGATTTTCATGTACATCTTATGGATTTTTGTTAGGAGAAAAACACAGTCTTCTGATTGGTTGTTTCTCACAGAAAGTTAACCTTGCATCTCTCTGTGGCTGCTTCTTGAATGTTAGATCATCTATATATTAATTGTATACGCCTACGCAAAGCCTTTGTTCTCATTTTTCTCACGACCAATATTTGGGACATAAATATTGGCGTAAATTACTGTCCACCAACCTTGACTAACAGCCAGCTCTCACCACAGTATGGTTAAAAATAACATTCTCCTACATCAAAGCGTTTTCCCTGTTCCTTATTAAAACCCAATGTTTGTTTATCCTGCTATGTAATGTAAACTTCCCTAGCAATACAATCTGTGAGGCCATTAACGTCCTAAGTAGACAAGTTTGCTGAGTTGACTTTCTTTACTGTTCTGTTAGTTGGTCGCCTTCTGTAAACATACAGGCAATAAGTGTCAATTGCAGTGCGTCGGTGCCACAGTGGTTAGGACTCTCGCCAACCATGCACATGGTCTGGTGTTCGAGCCCACCCCGACGCACACCTGATATCTATGGTCGGCCTGCAAAATTTGGGCTACCGATATCCATACTGAAAATTCCATACTTGTACCAAAAATACAGTGTGGAATCAAGCTGTAATAAAAAAAAAATCAATCAACCATCCACGCTTATATCAATTGAATCTTCAAACGATATCATGCATATCTGTAACACTGGAGCAAACGTCTGCTTCAAGTAGCTGGACATTGTAATAATTTTTGATATTGAATCATTGTAATATTGTTTGGTTGGCATATTTGTAAGACAGTTTTAGCTTATTTTTAATTTGTGGATGGTGACTAACAGTGAAATCTAAAACAACGAACATTTCGTCCTATTTGGGACTCGTCAGCCGGATGTACCTGCATTCCCCAGTGAGTGATGATGTTCCCACCGAGGCTCGAACCCAGTGCCCAAAGTTTCAAACGCGATAGCCTTATCCACTAGACCACTTGGGCCACGAGAGCCACTACCTCTTGTGCAACGGGTCATATTAATTTAATTTAAGATTTTCCCGTCGATTTATATGACCGAAGTGCTCGGTCTAAGGTTGACATTTCGGCTTCTTGTACAAAAAAATGTTTAGCTTATATTGTCTTGGTTAGAACTGATGTTAAATGTTACCATTGGGCTTATCGTTTATTATTTCGCCAAAAATTGCTTGATGAACCCGTATATTTAATTGAACTCGCGGTGTATTTCGCATTTATTTCTTATATCTACACAAGCCTCATCAGTCGGTGGCATTCAGAGAGAGATATAGTCAGAGTCCCTCAATTCACCTAAAGTCTTATTTACGTCTAGCAACAAACGCATTGATTCCGGCTAATAAAAGCACATCCTTTATGAAGAACTTTGTCACCTATTCCTCTTGTCATTGAATGGATGCTCCGTTGCGATGATCAGTGGTAGATTTTAAGGCTGTTGTGCTGTGTAAATGACGCAAATTAGATCAAGGTATCACTGGATGCGTCGGTGGCATAGCGGTTAGGACGCTCGCCGACCATGCCCATGGTCTGGAGTTCGATCCCCGGTCTACGCACACCCTATATCAATGGCTGGCCTGCAAAATTTGGGCTACCGATATCACATGCTGAAAATTTCATAATTGTATCAAAAATACTGTGTGGAGTCAAGCTATAATAAAATAAAATAAATAAATAATCATAATGGATTCAAATAAATTGGTTCAGTATTGGTTTGTAGGCCGTAGTACGGAAGAATCCCGACTAAGTAGAAATGCCTAAACTCCGCAATAGGACGACAAACGCATGAAGAGGCATACACAGGAGTTTTAAATATATATGCACCTTATTGTATTAGTATCTTCACCTAACCTAAGGTTTGCTTTCTTCATATCTGCCAAGCAGAATGCACCCTATATGCTGATATTATGACTAAGTATTTCTTGCTCCAAATCATCCGACTGTGCATTATATTCATAAAGAGCTTGTCAGTGTACAATGCTACTGAATAGCGGTGCTGGTTTAAATTTGTAATGCAAGTTGTAACCATGAGGAGCGTAAATATTAGGGAAGCAATGTATTGATTACGTAACTATTCACGTTGTACTTCATGTGCATTGTGGTGTAGGTAAGCGATTCCTCATTTACTCCGTAAATGTAAATCCTACTTGGGATAAATCAGTAATACCTACACAACGACGAATCAACATCCGAAGTATTCATGGTTATTGTTTAAATGGCGAATAACAATAGAAACCGAACATATATTAAATATTTTACTGATTTGAAAATGAATATAATAGGATTTAGGATGCTAAAGTTCGTGTACTTTGGGAGTTTTGAGATTTCATGTTCTCAAGAGTTTCTTTCTAGGGATTTGATTTGTTTCGTGTCTGACTAGTTAGCGAATCGCTGGGAGACCAGGGAATAATGAACGGCTGTTTCGCCCCAGTTTGGGTCTCATATGTAGTACGCACTCTAGTACGCTAGGATTCGAACGTAGGAGCTTCCAGCTGAAAGGCGAACCCGTGTACTATCCAGCAACCGACACCCGGTTTAGCTGTCTGGCCGTGAATTCAAACTTCGTGATTTTAGCGCGACTGGCACCAGCCAATGTCATCTGTGGCGAGTATTTGTCCACACTCCCGACATGGTGGACCCCACTAGTCACGACTTCTGACTGGAACTCCAGGCAACTTTGTCCTGCAGTCAGTAACTGTTTCAGGATTTCATCATGAGCTGACATTAGTTAGAGAACCATTGGAAAACCTGGGAGTACTGGACAGCTGTTTCGTCCTAGTTTGGGACTCTTCAGTCAGTAACTGTGTTTTATTGGTGTGGAATGTTAATGAAACGCGAATTATGCTGCTAAAGTGAAGTTCACGTTTCAC